GAAATAAACTTTCATCATTGGTTATAAAAAAAACTTGAGGTGAATAGTTTAATACTTATATATAATGAAATTTTTCTTATGGGAAATGAATGAAGTCGATTTATCATGAAGAAAATAGCAAATGTTTAGTTTAAATATGTATGTAACACCATTTAGCTACTTAAACATTAGTTAGTAGTAAACATTTTCAAGCTAAATAAATGGAGTCAATAGTTTAGTTTTGAATTCTGACGGGCTAATAAGAAGACAGGGTTCGTCTGGAAAGTGTGATGTATTTTCATTATGCTTCTCAAACGATCTAGTCACACATAAACATGTCATTAAGCAAAGGTCATAAAAAAGCTTAAAGATTGATTATCAAGGCAGATTCAAGGGAACAAAAAATTGATTATGTATACATTAAATGGTTCGAATTCGCGAACAGTAGAATGGTTCTATAAACCCAAGAGTGTATCTTTACAATTTCTTTACAGCAATAATTCCATGCCATGTTTCAGTTATTATATAACACTTTGGTATGGATGAACATGTCAATTTCTTCTTTACCTAAGTATAATATACATATTTAGAGGATGGAATTATCAAGCCAAATGCTCGGATCCTTAAAGCTTCTATCACATGAAAGAAACTGGATCGAAAGTCATTGGGAATTAAAGAGGATCACTCAGAATGATTTAGTTTTATCTACTATGTAACCAATAGCAACAAACTGTGCCAATAATCTTTCCATTTTTACGTTAGATATGATACAGTTAGAAGCTTCATCATTTACTTGGCTGTAAGTCAACTAGATAGTGAAGTGAAGTTTAAGAGTTGATTCTAACATACAATAGATTGGCTACCAACATCATTTGACGGACTTACTACATTCCAAGACCATGTTGGTCAACATGTCAACAAAATAAAAATAGTGAATATACCATAAAATTCCCGTTTTCCAAACAATGTCGAAATAAATAAGCCAGAAAAAAGAAGATAACTGCTTCTAATCAACGAAACAGATTAAATCGATAAAATGCGTTTAATTTTGAATGATCCGATTAAATTTCAAATATCTAGCAACATTAGGGGAAAAATAAATATGGAAGCAGAGAAACTACTGACTCATTTCCCTTAAAGGATTAAAAAATTAGGGGATCATTACTCCTACGATTTATAATTCACTAAAATAGGCCACGACTCTATGGTTACTTAGAGTTTACAAGTTAGGACCTCCTGTCTATCTTAATTTAGACATGTATAATTCTCCATGTCATATTGTAGTGAAGGAGAACACAGGTGAGGGCAACCGAATTGTATTTTTTTCGTAAATTACAGAGTTAATCAGTAAAATAGGAAAACCATATCGTAAATCATTAATTTGCAAAATATCAATCCATCATATCAAACTGGACTGTTCCTGTGGCAAAACATCAATACATTGTCTGACATTTCACTATTCATGCGTTTCATACAAATCCCATTGTGTTCCCTCTCTTCCTTTCTTGATCTTCCCCCATCTTATGCACCACAATATAAGCTACAAAGTGGTTAGTTCGAGTCCTGGGTGCCCTACGCAAACTAGTTTTTAACAGAAGTTTTAAAGAAGCTTATCATATTTCATCGCCAGTCTGGAATAAGTATGAATTTTTAAGGGAGACAGCTGATAACTTTCGGTGTTTCTTTCTTATTTACCGTTAAATGAGAGAGGCAAGTGACTTTATGTGTCAACAACTAATTGACAAAATAATTAATACCGGAATCACAGAGAATAATCTCAAAAAATTCCCTTTAAAATGTACAATGGACATTCATTTTGCCCTTAATAGTAATGCAAATGGTAGACGGATTGATAAAATAGCTATGGATTACTTCTAGGTCTTAACCTGTATGAGTTTTGTTTCTTGTAAAACTAGAAAACGTACCTTTCAAAGCGCTTATTGATTAGTTTGAATAATATTGCCATTACACTTACGATACTTTGATTATTGGTGATCACTATACTGAAAAAGAAAAAGTTGATAACAAATCTCATTCCCTTGAAGTTTTCTTAAACAGACGACCAGATGGTTTTGTCAGTAGAAATGTGCGTAGTAGAGGTTCATCAACAAGCCAATACACGCATTTTGTGAGATTTTTACCCATTCATTTCAAGAAAGCCTATTTATATGACTTTTAAGTAGAGCTAGAAAGATTTGCTCAGACGACAGACATAATGCAGCTAACTTCTGTATATCTTTTTCTCGCCAACCTATGGCGATTCCTCAGCTAAAGGAAAAGTCATCCAGTTTCGTCATATCATTGTGTGTTTACTAATTTAGCCGCGTCAATGAAGAAAGTTATATCACATCTATAACTGGAATAATGAGCCAACAAGTTAGTGAACACCTCTCTTTATAGGGTATGAAAGAAATGCTAAGTAGCTTCGTTTTGTCACGTCTTTTCGTCCTTTGCATACAGCAGAAGTTGTAGGGATTTTAGTCTTTATGCTGTAACACTAATCTCATCCTTGGCGGAGTTAGCTTTTGCCAATAATTATATTTTCCATTCCTCTCAATCTTTGATCTGTCTCGATTCCATTTAGAATGTACTCTGAAGGCGAAGTCGTACTGCTGACTGCAAAGGGGTGTGACAGCAGTAAGGTGTTTCCCTCTGACAACCAGCGTCTGCAGCGATGCTGCCTTCTTACAAAGAAGGAAGGGTTAGAAAAGGTCAACCCTAAAAATGTCACACCTCACACTACCTCACGGATTTCCGTCTCCGGCGGTAAGGGTGCCCACTAAGGGCTTTAAAAGATCGGAGCTAATACTCAAAAAACCTTTCATAAAAAGGCCGTGCGTGATCGGTCTGAAGCAGTTGCCCCTCGGGCTGTGCGGTCACACTCGGTCAAGCTCTCTAAGACCGAAACTCATCTATATTCCTTTCTAGGCTCCTCAAGAAACATCCTTCCACTGTGTGGGCAGCCAGCAAGTGACAACCGCTCTCATACCCTTAACAGCACACGAGATCAAATTGGTCGCAATCAAATCCTTTATCTAATTATTTGAAAACTCGTTGTTACGTAATTTGATAGTTTTAAATGAATGCTTTATCAGTGTGTATTTTTTAAAGTCATTGACCTAATTCGTTTCATGGAATACGGATTTAAGTCTTAATAATTATTATCTCAACGAGTAAACCGGTTATTGCACTTTTATTTTCAACTTTTACTCATTATGTACAATGTATATTACGTAATATCCTTGTTCAAAACATTTATCTACGAAAATATAAACGTCAACCAGTCAAATAGAAGGTAAGAGGAAATATCCCACTGTGTTTATCAATTTACATATATGTGGCCACATATATAAAAAATAAGTAATCTTGGCAATAAACATCTTACTTTGCTAAGCGCACAGTGGAATCAGGTTATATGATTTATTTAAGACTCTGCTTTTGTGGTTTTGTACAAATGTGTTCAAAGTCGAATAGTATAATTTCTTGAAATCCTTACTGACCATATGAATGTTCAAACCCACCCTTGTGTAGTCAAATACAGGTTGTGATCATTCGAAATGTAATCTTGGGGCATTGTGTTTGTTATCCTTGGTTATATTTGTTTCCTCAAACTTTACAAACCTTCGTAACAAGTATATTTGTGATCTGTGTGTTCGAAATGAATTGCGTTCATATGTCATAATTCTGATAATCTTCATCTACTTATTGCACTATCTAAATTTATGAAAGAGACTTATATATGATGAATGTTTGCAGTGGAACACGATATTCCTCGATTACATATTCGTTCATCAAAGAATAATACACTTATGTATGACAATTCAAGTAATACCGAAAAAAAACATTATTCGCTTTAAAATATTGATCCTTGTGGAAACATAGTTTTGACAATTCACAACGTTCATTTTACGTAGTTTTAGTACTATTAGTACTTTAATTTCCCCAATTATGATATAATTGCTAATGTTATTCTGTTTGCGAATTACATACCAATTGCTGTACTGATCATCTTAATATGAGTCTAAACATTGTGCTTACTATGATTGGTTATGTAAATTTTTCATGATTATTACTGAAATCACGAGTAAATCCTCGTTAGACCACGATCATAATCCTGGAAGCACTGAATGGCCGTTTCGTCCTGGTATGGGATTCATTTGCAGTACATATCCACGATTCCTGCACCTCGCAAGATTCGAACTCAGGACCTGCAGTTTCTCACTCGAAAGCCTCAACCTCAAAAATTACCTTTACCTGACTTAAAATGTTTCATGTATTATTATTTTTATTTAGGATAGTGCCAAGTGAAGAAATGACAACGAATTATATTATTCACTTATATATACATGAGAATTTTTAATATTTCCTTTCAAAAGATTTGTATGCATTTTGATATTTCAAATTATCAGCATTACTCTACTAATCACAAAATATCATGAACTTCCATAAACCAAGAATCTGTAGACTGATTGACAGTCAAATACAAAACTGGGTTTGATTTCTCTATAAATCGATAATTTTTGATGATAAACATTGTTAAATCACTTAAAGATTGAATACTATTTGTACAGTATGTTAATTTGAATGAAAAAAAACACCAATCTTGACGAAACAGGGAATTCAGAGATTTACTGAATGATTGAGTACTCATCATAGAGGAGTTATGGGTATTCGCGTCTGAAGGGTCTCATATTAGGTTGAAATACTTCACCACTATTATAGAGTTTGCAGATACGAGTAAATTATTAATTAAATGACAAAGGAACCTTTTCATCGAAAAGTATGAATTGCTGATAATCTTTCCGATTTAAATGACTAAAATTTGATTTCTACAAAAGTCAGAATGATTCACAAGCCTGAAGTTGGAAATGAGCCAGAAAAATATTTTCACATCTTGATTATATTAAAACGTAGAAAGGTAGAAAGGAAACATATGTATATACTACTTATTAATATCATGAACAAAACAAAACAGATATATTTAATTCAAAAATCAATAATAGAAGTTAATATGAGCATAATTTTTTTCACAAATTACAATTATAGGCATTAAAGACAAACTAAAAATTTACAATATTTCGAACAACATTGACTATTCTTCATGCATGCATAATTTGAACGAATACAATGTTGACAAGTTCCAGCGCCGAGCATATCATATTCACAGAGTAGATTACCACAACAACGACGGAATACTGTCCCTGTACAAGATGAACCAAGTTTTTGACAACATTGATTCACTGATTTATGGAAAAAAATGAATATTGTGTAGAAGTGAGATACTTTAACTGTGTAAAAATATTGATTTTTATATGATCAATTGTACCATTCACAAAAATGACCTCATTATGTGATGAGAAATGCAATTTCAACTACCTAAGTATTTTAAGCAAACAGTGTATATAAGAAAACAACGTTATGGTCTGAAAATCACCGATTACCATAAAAGTTCAAATCACTTTAATTCTTGGTCCATTGTAAAGATAGACCGTCTGATGACAGATTTCTATAAACTAACTACGATACGTAACGTAAGTAAATAAGAGAAAGACCATTTAATCCTAACAGATAATGGTTAAGCCAAATGATAAGTGAAGCTTATTACACAATAAATGTATGTTTTCAACCACAGACTAACATCAGTATTTATACTAATTAAGTCTACCACTAGACAATGGTTCGTTTGAATTTCTTAAGCAGTTCATCGTCTACAATCTCAGATGGAATTAACAGCAGCATGTTCGGATATCATGATAAGCATCATTTTGATTCCCAATGATCAAAAGTTATCGAAATACGTTATTCCTGATCTATAGGAACTTCATGCTAGAATTTTTAAAAATATACGATGTTAATTTTAGTCGGCTGGAGCGTAGAATTTCGGACGTACATACATACATCAGTTCAATTTGCCATATCACATTAGCACACAGAGAACAAATTGTCAAGTCGTAGTAGAATTACTAGCCGTAAAGGAAAAGATTGCGGTTCGAAGATATTTCTCAAGTGAAATAAATTTAATGAGAGAAAGATTAAACTCCTGAGGAATTCAGAAGATTAGAATTTGAGAGAAGACAAAGAATGGATGCAAATGATTTTGAGCTATGTCATTCAAGGTCTATAACCATCGTTTGCTAATGTCTCGCGGACCACAACCAGGTTGTCTACACCTTACAACATGACTTGGTCCAGTGGTCAGTGATTTCATGGATTTGTGGCATGTTTTAGTCTGGCCATTCCTAGCTTTCTTTCAGCCTTCCTCCACAGTGTAAAACAAAGCTCGTCGAGGCAGTCAGTGGTTGAGTATCTATAACACGTATCCCAATCATCTCAACTGATAAAGTCTCACTATTTCATCGATTTATTTGCCGTCGTTATTTAGTACTCGTTTCTTAGCCACAGCATTGCTTACTCGGTTGTGTCGGGATATACGAACAGTGCTTCAAAGACACCTGTAACCGAAAACCAGCAACCAGTAGTGGCCATGTTTCACACCCATATAGCAGGACGGAGCGAACTGGTGCGCAGTAGACTAAACAATTTTTGGCTAACAGTATAAATATATCTGGGAAACAGTTAACTACATTTTTATTCTGTTGTTAATTTTTATCAGATTTATTACGAGAATACAAATGTTGAAGACATCAATTCACTACACCATTAAAACATATATCAAAAAGACATGATCCCTTATCGATTGGCTATCTAGTTATGATAATAAATATATTAATTTCGTATCAAGAAACTCGATAAATCAAGTGATTGAAGTTTACGTTTATAAAAGATATTTTATATGGAGCACAATCGGAGCCATAAATACCTTGATTATTTAAGCCCCTTTAAACATTCGGTTACGTAGTGTTCTAGCTAGCTGTCATACCTGCATTGTTCCCTTATAATTACAGTAATTAGAGATTCCCATTGTGAAAATTAGATCAACACATATAAGCGAACAACATATTGTTGTTTTCGATTCGATCGTCATCAAGCTTTTTACTCTAATATCCATAAATATTTATATGAAAATGTTAAGCCAATCAAGGCAATGAAATGAAAAATATGATAACTAAAGTTTTAATCAATAGTAGGTCAAACGTGGACAAATAGACTTCAAATAGTCAATAAAAACATCAAAACCATTTCATTGTGATTATGACTAAAATTGCCTTGATTAGTTTAACATTTTCATATCAACACTCATGTATATCAGAGAGTAAAGCAGCCTGATGACGATCTAATCGAAAACAACAATATTGTTCGCTTATATGTATGTTGTTCTAATTACCGTAATTAGTGAGTTAAATTATTGATTCGAAATTTATTAATGTACTGAAAATCAATTGCGAATATTTTGTGAAAGATCGCTTTTTGAAATGGTATCATCATTTGGACGAAACCGTGTCTAATGGATATTCCTGCCATTTGTGGTCAACTGTTAATTTAAGTTTCCCATTTAAGCTGCCAGAACATCAGAATGAAAATTCAAAGATTATGTCTATCCATGTCATTTCAACTGATTGAACCCATTGTCAGATAAAAAGTTCATTACTGCGATCCAGAATATTGATTTAATGGTCTGGATTGATTTACAAAATTCAATACGTAGGAGATGGGATCAAACTCCGTTGGGAAATGATGGAGGAATACGATAGATCATCCGAAAACATCTAGATTTATCTACAATGTGACCACTATCTACCAGGTGTGCTAAGATAGAACTGCGTATTGTTTTTGACTGACCCTTCGTAAATCATGCTGGGAGATGTTCACTCATTCGTTGTGTAAGTTGCCTGGAAGTACGCCCGATATAGCTATCTCCACATGAGCAGCTGAATCAAGGATATTGGGATAATGCAATGAGAATCACATCGCGATAGATGACAAATCAATATTGCTGTGATGTGATTCACATTGCTTTTTTCCTAACATTCTTACTTCGTTATCATTCAATCCATAGTTAGAGTTATGTTTTCGATAAATAAATCCCTTTACAATTGAATGCACACTCAAATTCTTCAAAACCTTTAATTCTAATTTAACCACATAGCTTTAACGAACTCTGTGTTCTTATTGCATTTTCTCGATCGAAATGTAATTAACAAAACGTCTACTAACTAATCACTTCTAACATAATATACTTGGTTTAATTTCATCAAGACAACATTACATCACAGTGATTATATACAATGACTTTGAGCAAAGATTGAAAAACGATATCACTGACATTATTGAATATATGTGTTCTGCAGTGGATACTTTAATTCAGGAGCTGGAATTCATCAACGGCTCACTTACCGAGATTCGTTATCCCAGCGCATTCATAAAGAAGTATATGTTTGCCGTAAAAAAGAAGTCGGTGTTTTCGACCGCCCGAAAGAAGCCTTTATTTATAAAGTTACAATTCAACGGAGATGTGGCCTGTGATACTCTGCAGGACAGATTAATAAGAGTAATTAATAGAACATTCAACGCTGCCAAACTTTGATTGACATTCTCCAGTCGACCAGCGATGTCTACCCGAATGAATGATAAGTTACTTGAGTTGGCCTCCTCTATGTGCATTTACAAATTCAACTGCTCCTGTGAAGATAGCTATATCGGGCGTACTTCCAGGCAACTTACACAACGAATGAGTGAACATCCCCCAGAATGGTTTACGAAGGGTCAGTCAAAAACAATACGCAGTTCTATCTTAGCACACCTGGTAGATAGTGTTCACATTGTAGATAAATCTAGATGTTTTCGGATGATCTATCGTATTCCTCCATCATTTCCCAACAAAATGCAATATTTCATCTAATATTTCCTCTAAGCTTATTCATTCAGCATATATAATTCATTTGTCACTTTATACCTAAGTCAAACAAAAATCTACCCTGATTTTAATAATTATTACTATTTCAGAGGTTAGTCATTCTTATACAAGAATGAAGGTCCTAGGTTCGAATCTCGCGAGGTGCAAGAGTCGTGGATGCGCACTGCCGCTGATGAGTCCCATATCAGGACAAAACCTCCACGTAGTGCTTGCAGATTTCTAATGGTGATCTAACATTGATCGATTCACGATTTCCATAAGTAATTCAACAATCTCCACAACTCCATAATGTAAAAACAATTATTTAACAATAATTGAAAAAGAAATAACTTACTATTTATTAGCATAATTATTAGATATAGGAAATAGATTGATTTATTCATAAAATAAGCGAACATTCAAGCATAAAATAAAACTGTTTAATTGATAAATTATATGTAAATATCTCACAAACTATCATGTATATATATAGTCAATGATCATCCAATCAAATTGATTTGATTTTTCCAGTTTTAAATAAACAACTCATAGAAAATAGCCAATCAAAAAATATAACTGAACTTTACAAATATGTTATTTTTCAATTCAATATTGAGAATATTGTTTAAATGAATAATAGTCAATGAAATAATTTTTGATCAGTTGTTGAAAGTGGGAATACGTCGTTGAAAATTATAACCATACACTAGGTTAATGCATTTAGAGATAATAAGGAGGCCTACAAACGAAAAGTCTTTATCTTCACTGTGATTAGTTTGAGAAAGTGCCAACTACACCACTGCTGAGGGGTCTAGAAGTAGGCTGACGCAGCTATTTAATGCTCATTTAAGTTTCTGTATTTCACGAACTGATTTCAATCGCTGACAAAAATTGACGCTATAAAAATTAGCTAGTCATTAAACTACTTATTGGTTGGTGATTAATGATTGGTTTCAAGTGGGTTACTGATGTTTTACGCAGATTCTATAAATGGTAGAATTCAATTATGTTGATCGTTTAATACAATTGAACAATGAATGAATTTATAATAATTGGTATATTTCATAAATATGAACCACTGTATTCTACTAATTCAGTAGCATCAATAGATATAATGCTTACAACAAAGGGGAATTAAAGCTCTTACATTCTCTCCTTGATGGGATGATACATGTGAACTTTTATAATTACACGATTCTACGGTAGGCCGAAACTCTACAACCCCAACATCCCACTATGCCCGACTGTATGCCTCCCCGGAACCCCAACCTACACTTATCAATGGAAATTTCAAGGATATTAAAACATCTGGTGGGTGAATTCAACGACTCTATTAAGTCTGTCACACAATATGATCCTTACATTCCTATGTTTCAACGAACGCTATTGGTCCCCTAATGAGAAATAAGTAGCTAATGTTCATAGATCTTCAAACAAAACCATGACAGGACTTTATGAAACTTTGGGATTTTAGTTTAACTCTCTAAAGAGCAGGAAAAACTCTTGATCAGCTTAACATTTCTGGTCATGTTTCAATATTATGAAGATAAATTGTTTTATAAAACTAATCAAATATAGATCATTTCAAATATTCAACCCTTTTGAACGTATTAGCTTCATCCTTGACAAAACAGATAACGAATTTCGCTAATTAGATTCTTGAGTCATCTAGTTAACTACTGTGACGAATGAAACATTTTAAAGCATAATCAAGATTAATATTTATTAGTTTTCGGAATCTAGACAGAGATCAAAAACCCTGAATTATCTTGATTAGTTACGGTTCATGTTCATTGACACGTGCTAAGCTTTAAAATGATGATTAGAGTTAGTTGACCAGAAACCCTGGCCCGCAGATTTCATTTGATTTAGTAATTGTCAGTATGGTGTACCTGTAATCTTAAGGAAACTCATGCGCCCTGTATGATTCGATCCTATGCTACCCAACAGCTCCAGAGTGAGAGAATTTACAACCGGACTATCCCGGTTTCGACTGTCTTCCTGCAGGACAGTCATGTTTACAATTGATTAAGCGATAGGTAGTGGCCAAACTATAACTTGATTGATAGAATTCGATCGTCACTAGAAGAATCTGACACACAAGACATTGATTAACCAGTGAATAATCAGTTTTAAATGTTGAGTTCTATTAGAATACTTAGAAATATTCATAAAAACATCATATATATGGTAATGTGTCTTCTCATCAGTATATCTAAATCGGGAGAATTTATTCGCAACATTACTAATATTCAATGAATGTGTGGTCGCCCTTCGATTTTAACCACTTTTCATTTCATTTCGTAAGTTCGCGTTGCAGGTTGAAGCATCAGTTTAACTAAAGAATATAATTCATGCATCCTAGGATAATCGCAGTTGTCTGCTTTGAACATGTCCGTCTAGTGTAGTCTTACATGAAAAGCACGGACGTGCTGGAAGTTAAGGCTTAAAACTAAATCTCTCAAAAACACACGTCCCTAATACACAGCTTTCACTTTATAAGTGAAGGAAACAATGGCTAGACGTACTGGATGAAATATGCCATCGTTGAGAACGTGGATAAAGTTGGTCTTTAAATTTTCCTAGAATAAATAACATCAACATCTGGAGGGAAGTACGGTATACAGTGGACAGCTACGATGCAGCTGGACTATCTGAACTTCGCAGATGATCTGGCCCTAATACCACACATGCAACAACAAATGCAAGAGACGATGACCAGTGTGGCAACAGCCTCAGCAGCAACAGGTCTCAACATACATAAAGGGAAAAGCAAGATTCTCCAATACAATACAACATGAGCCGACCGAATCTTTCTTAATGGAGAAGCCTCGGAGGAAGTATAAAACATTACATAACAGCCTCAGCAGCAACAGGTCTCAACATACATAAAGGGAAAAGCAAACCACTCTTGATGGAGATGCTTTGGAGGACTTTAAAACCTTTACATATCTGGGCAGCATCATTGACAATCAAGGTGGATCCGATGCATCCGATGCTGCTCCGAAAAGCGGCAGATGGAGAGCTTGTTCCGTATAATTTTATCCGGGGACGTTGTGTCATCGCCTGGTCTTGTTGATGTTGGTGTCCAACTACGAGCTAGAGTTGAGGCAACATTAATCGGTCAGATCCCCACAAACAGTAGATTACGTGCTGTTAGATAAGGAAGATATATTTGATAGTGGTATGATTTATGCATATATGTCATGTTTTTATCAGATTAACTCTGTCTTCTTATCAGTAAGTGACATGTTCTATATCCATAGTTCTATTTTATAATTAAACGACGTATTATGGTTCTTATTCGATTTATATAGATAGACATTGTTTAAGACAAATCAACAACTTACCGTTAATCAAAGTGTTTGTAATTCACTATTCATTTATGAATTGCATCTATTCGTTCGTCAATAGCAGACTCAAGACAATGTGCATATTGTTTTACCTTAAAAAATTAACATAGAGTATACATAGTTTCTTTGAGAAGTTTGTGAGTCACTTAACTAATCAAAGTATATAAAACACAAATACATTACATTCTTCAAATCAACTCTATCTTCTGATCAGTGTTCTCATATATCATCTTTATTATTCAAGTAACATCAAGTTCCACGGTGATAACGATAGGAAAGATGTGAGTTAATGTTTTTTTGGAAACTGGCAGTTATGTAATCGCAGATTTGCATCATGGGTAGTGGAGATTGTTGAGTTACATTTTGAAATCATGAATCGATCATTGTTAGACCACCATTAGAAACCTGGAATCACTGGATGGTCACTTGATCCTGATATGGGACTCATCAGCAGTGCACATCTACGACTCCTGCTACCCTCAGGAATCGAGCCCAGGACCTTTGGTCTTGCATGCGAACGCCTAACCTCTGGATCACTGAGCTGGTATCTAACGGTGTTAATGTCTAACTTCGATTAATTCACGGTTTTGCCCAACCTTATACACTGTCTTTGGTCAGCACTGCTTCACACCCGAACAGTGTTGAACTCCACTGGTCACAACTTCTCACTAGAATTCGGAGAAGATGCCTCACGGAGCGAGTCACTAGTGTTAATAGATAAGTTTTGAAATGTTCAATTACTTTTGTGATGAGATTTTTTCAAATCTATTGCAAAATTAATACAGATAGAGAATATGAGAAATATTTATGAAAAAGATTTTTCTCATTTTTTTTTCTTCTGACTTAATCGTTTAGTTCCGGTAGAGTTGTTTGACCTAAAGTTAAATTATTTATTTAAATGATTGAGATGCTATTTTGATGTTAAACTCACTAACCTAATAGATTTACAGTAGAATGACGTGAATTTCAACATTAGTTGGTTGCCATTAAGTTATTAATTTACTAAATTAAATGGAACGTGGGTACACATGAAAGTTGTATCATATTATTGTTGTGATGTAGTTTCGTTCTCTGAGATGGATGTTTTGGTTTTGGCGTTTTCATTGTTCTTCTAAACAACATTATCAGCACAAACTTCAGATATCAGAAGTGAAGTATTCGAATTTCTCCATGTATGACTCGTAGCTTGCTCTGTTAACCTCGATCTTGATTGGTTGTTATTGATCTTAAACTTGGTTTTGTCTGCACCACTTATGATCAAAATAAAGGTGTAAATGAGGTCAATAGAACAAGCTACGAATCATTCATGGAGGAATTCGAATACTTCACTTCTGTCGGAAGTTTGTGGGGATGATGTTGTTCAGAAGAACATTGAAAGTCCCACGACCAAAACATCCATCTCAGAGAACGAAACCTCATCACAATCATCCACCTGAGCTACAAATTTTCTCCACCATCTATGATATTGCTGTCTAAAATATGTTTCTAAGATAAAATGACATAAGTTTATTCTTAAAATTTAGCTGCTTTAACAGCCACAAAAGTAGAATACTAGTTTCTCAACAAGTTCAATAAGGCGGTGAATAGACACTCATTGACCTGTCAGTCTATCCTTATGCAAGTCATTGTTTGTCATCGTTTCCATTCAAAATATTAGTTCACTCTCTCGCAAGTATGATGATAACACGTTCTTCTCTTCTTTCTACGTCAATGTCACAAATGTGAATTGTATTATTATTTGCTTGAATAGTTGTTGAAGTTATCAGGGATGTATGGTATGGCCACTAATGACACAGTGATGTTTGCAGCCAAAGCTACTCAATATTGGAGTGAATATCAACTCTGGGATATCGATAAACCCAGCTGACATATACCACATTGGACGAGACACAAATCATGGATTTCATTGTCAGTTACAGTTCATCTCTTTTATAATACCCAGCATACATGATGCCTAACTATTACGATACAACTGATTTAAACTACAACTAAACAGGTAGTTTTGGATTTATTCCTGTTCCGTGTAAATATACATGAATAAAATTACTGGTTACTTATAAAGACTTACTTAGTGTTTTATACAAGTTCATC